TCAAACTTTTTGGAAAATGCCACAGTTGCAAACGCTAATTCGGTCGTGAACCAACAAAATTATAAACCAATGAAGTATGAATACAGGCTGACGAAGCACACAAAGATTTGAAAAGGGTGCGAAGGCAATATTTTCTTATCAATGCTATTATAAAGGTATATATACGAGTGACTAAATTATATTCAAGACTTGCTGCAACAAACTCGCCAAACCTTATTTGTTTATAATTTTATTAAGGATATGCAAACAAAAAATCAAATTGTACGAATCATCTATCGCGATGTATCATAGCATTCTGGTGTTATTAAAGATCCGGCTTCGAAACATTTTTCAGACTGTATATTCGGATTGAAACGAATAATACAACGCTGCTGGTGCCTCAAACTTTTTGGAAAACGCCACAGTTGCAAACGCTAATTCGGTCGTGAACCAACAAAATTATAAACCAATGAAGTATGAACACAGTGGCTGACGAAGCAAACAAAGATTTGAAAAGGATGCGAAGGCAATATTTTCTTATCAATACTATTATAAAGGTATATATACGAGTAATTAAGTTATATTCAAGACTTGCTGCAACAAACTCGCCAAACCTTATTGTTTATAATTTTATTAAGGATATGCAAACAAAAAATCAAGTTGTACGAATCATCTATCGCGATGTATCATAGCATTCTGGTGTTGTTAAATTAACCGAGGATTTGAACAATATTCAATATCAACTCCGCGCATGTATGTACATACACCGTGAGTCAATTCAGCCGATTCGCTATATGCAAACGAAACGCTTTCCGATATTTTTAACGAAACATGAATGTTCGATAATCCACGGATCACTCCCTGTTTATATGACGTTAAATATTGTTTACATTGTATACGCGTAGCTGTAGATTGTTATATTTTACGCACGAACGCTCAACCCTATTGAGATCGCCCTTGTTCAATATCTTGAGTGGTTTTTTCCGTAAGAGCGGTATTCAGATCTTCAGGGTTGGATTTAAGGCCCGGTTTTTCATTTTCTAGTTAATTGTTAACCAGAAGTTAGTCGACTCTCTATCTTTCTTTATATTATTATCTAAAGAGAGACAGAGAATTGATTAATCTCTGGTTAACAGTTAACAAGAAAATGAAAAACCGGGCCTAAGACAAAGGTAAAAGTTGAAAGTTACAGATAAAATGTAACTAAATTCAGTTAAAAGTTAACAATCTATAATGTAATTAAGTTAATATACTTTAACTTAGCTACATTTTATCTGTAACTTTCAACTTTTACTGCACCTCTGTCTTAGGCCCGGTTTTTCATTTTCTTGTTAACTGTTAATCAGAGATTAATCAATTCTCTGTCTCTCTTTAGATAGTAATACAAAGGAAGATAGAGAGTCGACTAACTTCTGGTTAACAATTGACTAGAAAATGAAAAACCGAGTCTTAAAGTTAGCTATGCCCAATACATTGGTAGTCTGTGTTTCAAAATTCACTGCCAGCTCTAAAATCTACTGTATACGTGTACTACAGATCTTCAGCGCTGGTGATGAATTTTGGAACAGCCATTATATGGAGTTTTGATTCTCAAACTCACGTGAAATTGTTTGCATATCAAATGGGCCACGTTCCGCGAAGCAATTGTTCTAACGCTGGTCGCGAAATTCAATGCAATTTACGCGACCGTAAGTCTCTGAGATTTTATGAAAAAGTAAAACAAATTTTTGTTTAAGCTACCACCGGTGACGATGCGAACTCCGAAACTCGTTAATATTTATCAGTGAAATTTTCCACTTTTCACGACTTCGCGCTAGAGAAAAAGATCCACGACGGAGCCCAAGATCATCTTTAGATACTTCGTAGCCAATGAAATGTTTCACACAGCATTTTTAAATATGCTCAAGCCGTCTTGAATATAAGATTTGCAGGGTTGGGCAAGTTATCTTTTTTTAAAACTAAGTTAACTTAAAGTTAACAGCCTTGAAAATTTTACTTAGTTAAGATACAAGTGATTCCATAATACAATTAATTGAATTAAAAGTTAAGTTAATAATAAAACGAAATTAAAAAGTTAAAAGTTAAAAGATGCTGCAATGTGTGGAACGTTTCATTGGCTACGAAGTATTTGAAGATGATCTTGGGCTCCAGCGTGAATCTTTTTTTCTAGCGTGAAATCGTGAAAAGTGGAAAATTTCACTGATAAATATTAACGAGTTTCAGAGTTCTCATCGTCGCCAGTGGTAATTTAAACAAAAAATGCAAAGCCTATAGTCGGCCGGACTGGCAAAGTTTCAGTAATTTATTTATGACGTTTCGACCTAATTCCAGGTTCTTATCAAGTGACAATATTTTAATGAACATAATATGAGTATAAGCTCGTGCACTCTTTATGTTTCCCGGCTACAACCGTTTAAATATTGTCACTTGATAGGAACCTGGAATTAGGTCGAGACGTCGTGAATAAATTACTGAAACCTTGCCAGTCTGATAAATATTGAGCTCGTCAACGAAATCATTTCACTTTTCAGAGTTCACGCTAGAGAAAAAGATTCACGATCGAGCCCTGAATCTGACTACGAATGCCGGCCTGAGAGTCTACAACTGGCAACAGTTAACGGCAAAGACGATCGTCGAAAAGAGCGCAACTCACGTAGTATCGTCGTCGTCGGCTGACGATACCAAAGAGATATCAAATTACAGAATCCCCGTATCGGCCCGAAGTCATTAACGCGCGATGATCGCCGCGCGCTCTCGGAGTCTCGCGCGCGCGCGCGCGCTTATTCGAATTGGCGCGTTCGGCCGGTCCGATTCCGGCGCGTTTCGCCGGTTCAGCTGCCGCGCGCGGCGGTTCGCGCCGCCATGCCGTTTGGCTGCTCCGCCGTGTCCCGCCATTCCGGTCCGTTCCGCTGGCGAGCGACAGAAAGCAAGATGGCGCCCGTCTGTTTGCGGATACCTCTGCCGTGGATATAAATACGCGCGAGGAGGAGGAAAAAGGGGAGAAGGGTAAAAGGAGCAGTGCCGAAAAACGGTCGCGGACGATCGTGCGGTCGGCGCGACGGTCGTCGTGATTGCGCGCATCCCGTCCGCGGTTGACGTCAACGTCGCCACGCGTCGCGGTAACGTCGCGTGAACGCGTCGGTGTCCCGTGCTCCCCGTGTCGTGCCGTGCCGTGCCGTGCCGTGCCGTGCCGTGTCGTGTCGTGTCGTGTCCCGTGGCCCCCGTCCACGTCCTCATCCTTATCGTCGTCGCCGTCCGCGATTCCCCGGCCGGCCGCGCAGCTCGGCGCGGATCGGCGCGAGACCGCCCGTGCCCGCTCCGTCCCGTGACCCCCGTGCGGTCGCGCGGCGCTCCAGGAAGGCAGCTCCTCCGCGAGCCGTGTGCCCACCTGAGGAATGTCAGATCGGCCGCGATCCCCCCGGCAGGTCGGCGGATCGGCAGCGCGGCGCGCCGCCAGCGACGAGTGAGCGTGCGTGAGGCGAGAACCGTTGTGAGAAAGAGGAGAGAAAACGAAGACGGGAAAAGGCAGGAGGAAGGAGGGAAACACATAAACGACAGAGGTGCGCGCGTGCTCCCGTGGGGGGATTCCCCTCGCAACAAGGTGATCGCGGTCGCTACTCTCCCGTGACGTATGTGTGTCGCGGTGGTCGTTTGTCAGACGGGTCGGTCGCCGCGAGTGTTTCCGCCGTCGTCGACGTCGCGTCGCGAGCGTTCCCGGCGATCTCGATGCGCTCTCGCCCTCCCCTGGAGGACCATCCCCTCTGGACGCCCGGTGGAATCAGCTGTTACTGCTGCTACTGCTGCTGCTGCTACTGCTGCTGGGACTACTAGCCCGGCGGCTTCCTGCGAGGATACTCTTCCGTTGGAGCGGTGGGGCAAGGAGGCGCCGGAAGCAGCCGCGAGTCCGGAAGCATAGCGAAGAAGATGGCCTTCAACGAGGTGAGTCGAGCCTGCCTGTCCGTCCGTCCCGCGGGCCTGCGTCACGCGCTCCCGCTGCACCGCGATCGCGCGTCGGGTCGTTCGATCCCGCGGGGTTGACCCCGCGACCCCCAAACGCCATTCCTAACCTAACCTCCCTCGCTGCGCACAGCTGGTACGCTATCAGCTCCCGCTCCCTCCCCGGCGTCCCGCCCCTCGCTCTCTCTCCGCCGCGAACCGACGTCACTCTCCCTCCCCCCCC